TAAATCAGTACTATTTTTCTTTTGGAGAAAATATAGTGCTGTCTATATTCGGCTAAAAATTAAAATATCAAAACTATAAAATAGGACATCACCATCAATTTAAAAAGTATTAGTAAATTTCAGGTGACAATAGTAAATATTTGTGTTAAAAATTACAAAGAAAGTTATTGGTAAGAAGTTCTAACAGTTAAGTGGTTAACCAGATGCACTTCAGGAAGCTGTATGAAATGAATTTGATGGGTCTATATTATTTATAATGTAAAAAATAGACACTTTTGGAAATACAAGGCCAGTATGTTAACAAAATACAGTCTGATGTTTCCTAAAGTGTTCTGACTTTCTTCCAAGAAGGAATCTGCATGTGTGGTACACCTGCATGTGTGGTACAGCAGCATGTCTGGTACACCTGCATGTACGCAGCTAAGCATGTGTGATGTAGCTGCATTTGTGCACAGCTGCATGTGTGGTATAGCTGTTGCCACCTCAGGCGTTTGTGTCTGCTCATACTACAAAGCTGAGGAAGCAAGATTTAAATAGACAAAGCACCATGTTAAAAATAAAAGTCAGCACATTTGAAAAATAAATATATAAAATGAGCTCAAAATGCTCTTAATCCTAAATGAACAAATTCCAATGTCACAGACTTTTCTTTTTGGCTTAATTTTTCTTAAATAAAACACCTGCACCGCATAAGTTCTGTCATGCCCATTTAACTATTATGGTATTATTTTCTGATGAAAAATATACAGAATATATTGAGTACTTAATATGCGCTAAATGCTATTTTAAGCATTTTATATTGTACTATCTCATTTAATCCTCTCTCTCAGAATTAGACAACATCATCTTCATGTTACAGAATAGGAAATATTGTTTGGAGATATTAAGTTTTTTTTCTAAATTCACAGAGTAAGTAGTAAGCATAGAAGTCAAATTTTAGGGTCTCTGACTTCAGGTCTTCAGATTCCATTTTTTTAAGCATTATATTATGATCTCTTTTTCCTAAATGACTCCATTAATCTCACAATACTGCATGAGTGAAATGTTCAATGCACTCTTTTAGCTTGTTTTGTGGTGCCACAGCAAAATACCTGACACTGGGTAATTTATGATGAACAGGAATCTTTGGGCTCACTATTGTGGAGCCTGGGAAGTTTAAGATGAAGCTGAACGAAGTTGTGCCAGCATCTGGCAAGGGTAAGAGATAGCAGGAAGGCCAGGCTCACGCTTTTATAACTGCACGAATTCCACAGAGAGGTACCGATGGTTTAGTCACCTCGGAAAGGCCACCTCTTAATGTCATCACAATGGCAATCCGATGTCAGCCTGAGTTTTGGAGGGAACAAACATTCAAACCACAGTACACACATTTTTATTTTATTTTTTAATTGCAGTAAAATACACATAACATGACAGTTCCCTGGTCCAAGTCCTAGTAATGGGAGTGAGGAATTTTCAAGATGATAGCAGCCTTGCACTACAGAGGCTGCCTGTATCCTCAAGGGAGATCTGGAGCCAGGAATGCAAGGCCATGTCCCATCAAATTCCTGACCTATAGAACATGTCAAAGACAATACATTATTTCTGTGGCAGGTGTGGTGTAGCTGCATAGATGATATAGCTGCATGTGTGGTATAGCCGTATGTGTGGTACAGCTTTCCACCTTCATGGAATGTGACTAACAGCCAAGGAGCAGCAAAATCAAAATAAATCATCTCATCCCCATCTCAGCGTCCTCAGAAATTCCCTCAATACTTCCTTTCTGTGGTTTGGTAGCGTGAAACAGAGTCATATCATTTAAAGTCACATAATTTTAAAGTGATTTGTTAGATAGCACCAGATACCTTTAAAAATCCATCACATTTGTTTTTTGGTCTCTGTAATAATCATGTGAGATGGTCTAAGGACAATTATCCTCATTTTAAAGATTTAGGGACTTAGAGGAATGATAAAATTCTGAGTTGAAAAGCAGCTGAGCAAACTGAAAACCATCCTAAGTTCCGCGTTGTTTTCACGCTACTGAATTTCTGAGTGTTGTCATTGCCAGTGCACATCCACTTCTCCGTTTGTGCAACCCCAGGAGTTTATGACAGGCAAACAAGAGCTCTTGGAAGTAAGAATGGCATGATCATCAGGCCTCATTAAAAGAGCACAGTGGGCTGGGAGCAATGGCTCACGCCTGTAATCCCAGCACTTTGGGAAGCCAAGGCAGGCGAATCACAAGGTCAGGAGTTCAAGACCAGCCTCACCAACATGGTGAAACCCCCCATCTCTACTAAAAATACAAAAAATTAGCTGGGTGTTGGGGTGCATACCTCTAATCCCAGCTACTCAGGAGACTGAGGCAGAGGGAATCTCTTGAGCCCAGGAGGTGGAGTTTGCAGTGGGCCCAGATTGTGCCACTACACTCCAGAATGGCCTACAGAGCAAGGCTATCAAACAAAACAAAACAAAAGAGCATAGTGATGGTTGCTCCTGTTCAGCCAGTATCCTCCTCCTATTCCTCACTCTGGTAACAATCTTCAGCTTCTTAGCCACAGGGCTGAATGTATGATCTAGACTGTAGCCTCCTTCAGTGGACACACATGGTCTAAGGCTAAGCCTCATTGGAGGTCTTCTAGAGAGTTTTCCAAACTAGAACCAGTGGAGTAGATCTATTTCGTCTTCACTTGTGAAGCTAGAAGTTGAGAAACCACAGTGTCTGCGGCAGTGCTCACTGCCATGCAGTCTTCCACCTTCAGGGAGCATGACCGACAGATAAGCGACAGAAAACTCGAAATAAATCATCTCACTGCCAGGTTCAGAATCCTCAGAAATTTCCTCAATACTTCCTTTCTGCAGTTGGTAGCATAAACAAAGAAACCTTGCCTTTGATAGCTTAATCATTGCTTTCACTTCTAACCAAGATTCTGGAACAAAACAAATAGCTTCTGTATGTGGAAATATTCCCACAAATCAGTCATGGTGAGAAGTGCTTCCACAAATAAAACATCTTTGAACCCTAATGACAACTATGCAAAGAAAGTTTTATTGTTATCTATTAATAGTAACAACAACGCAAAAATAAATATTGTTATACATTTATTTCTATATGTTATTGTTATATATTGTTATATATTCAGGTGCATGTGACTGAAAAGGATGGATTAAGAAGGTTTCCACACAGTTGATAATCAGCTGAACCAGGCTGTAAACACAGATATCTCTGACCTCGATACCCATGACTTGAGTGTAGTAATAGCGATCCCAGTTGAATCTGAAACAGATCCACACACTTAAAATACTGAAGTAAAAGAGATGAACTAAATACTAAGCTTTAAAGAATGCTTTGTAAGCAGTGTCCACGTGCAAGTTTTCAAAGAAGATCTGTTGGAGACATTGGTCATGCTTCATGTTCACCAAACACATCAACTCTACAGGATGTCCAAAGAGATTGCTCCGACAACATACCAACCCCAGCATACAAAGCCATGATAACACTAGGAAACAGTTTGGTGCTCTGGAAGCCCTGCATGATCCAAGGCAAAAAGAAAACAGTGAAAATGAAATTGCTGAAGTTCACATGCATTAACAAAATTGGGTATTTTTACAACACTCCTCTGTCTTCCAAAATATTTTTAGTTTTGTTATATTTTATTACTGTTTATACTTTCTTGAAAGGTTTTACGGCCACAGCTCTGCATTCAAGGGAATTAAATTGCCATATTTTTTCTTGTTTTATTTCTTTTATTTTTTTCCAAATATCTATAATGCTGATGTATTACTAAAACCTCATTTCAGAAAATGTTCGTCAAAAACCAGGATATTGATTGCCAGGCAATAGCAGGAAGTTTGTGAAATAAAGCAGCATGGTGCTGAAGTAGTCATTAAGAAAATGGTGCAGATTTGTTACAGTTCTTTCAGTAAATGGTCCCTTCGAGTTTTGTCACCCATTTTTAGAGAAATCAAATAAACGTAATCATCAAATTTTACCAAATGGGACCAAGCCCTTTTTGAGCTTGGATCGCCTTCACCTTTACTCTCTCCCAGCCTGCAGGCTTTCTTTTCCTTTTCATTTTTTTCATTCTTCACAAACCAGATATGCCAACATTTTGTTATTATTTATTATTACTGCATTCGAAAAAAGTTAGAACTCTTTAGAAAGTGCCGGAAAAGGCTTTCAAAGGCCTTCAAGCATTTTGCAAAACCTCTGCTCCCTTAATTCAGAAATCTGTATATTAAGGAAAATTATATGTTTCTGTTTGATTTACATTTAAAACCTTAACCAGCATTTTTGTAGGACCTGTCTGATATATTGAGCTGTGTATTTATTTTCATTGCAAGATTGTTTCATCTTTAAGCATTATTTGCTGACCCAAAGGAAGAGGAAAGAACAGTATGGCTTTTGTCACAGATGCCGAGCCTGGGCATTTTGAATTTGTTATAGACTACTCCAACTCTGCTTTAAACCTTAATAGACTTATAAACACCAAAGGAAGGCAGGAGATCTAGCATAAGAACTTTAGAAAAATGGAAAGTATTTTAATAGCAAGGAGTTTCTACTGTGTAAAAGTTTACATTAGCAGGAAGCTGTCCATACGAGTCACAATCTTTATTTAGCCAAGGTTACAACTGAGAGTAATTCAAAGAGCGACTTTTGAAGTCATTTATGGCGCATGAAGTAATCTACATCTCCACACCTACTCAGCATGCTCAATTGTCACTGCTTGGCTGATAAAATATTCTTATTATACCAAACAGTGTACAAACAGGGATGCTAATACCAATGTTTTCTCATCCTTCGTCTCTAGCCAATCACGAATCCTTTAAAACTTGAAAAACATTTTCTGTTATTTTTTCCGAGGATAAACAGAAAATATTTCATCTCAGGTAAAAATGTAAGTGGAGGTCTCTAAATCTCAAAAAACAGAACAAAACAAAACAAAACATAAATTCCAACCAGGCAAGCAAAAAATAATTTTAAAAAAAGCTTTTCTGTCTCCTGAGCCATTCTGATTCACCTGTGCACCCAGCAGATGTAAATCCATGAGTGGATTATGATATTGATCCTGACTCTGAGCATCTGTGAATTGATTTTAAGAAAAGTAAATTATATTAACATACATAAAAACTACTCTGAAATACAAATATTCTATATCTATTATTTAGAATACCGATAGTCTAAATAATAGATATTTATTATTAGATTTTTTAGAAGACCTATATTCTAAATAATAGTGAAGAAAAATAAATTGCAAGACCATTGTGTGGACTCTCTGAAATCTAAGACAGGAGGTGAAGGGTAAATGCATACCTGTGCAGGCCTGGGGAAGTAAGCAGAGTGGCTGAGAGGTGGCACCAAGCACAGTGCTCAGTCCAAGCCCCCATAGCCACCCCCGAAGCCTGGTCCTAGCCCATCTAATACAAGTGCACATGACTAGTTAAGCACTAGTGGAACCTGGTAGTTAACAGTTGATTTTGCCGAATCCCGTTTTTCTTATTCCAAGTCCAGTGTATTGTCCACTACCTACTTCATTCCAAGTTTGGAAAGGAATGTCGCTATGTTGAAATTTACTTTAAGCTTGTCAGATAGAAATCCTCCCATGAGTGCTTGAACCTCTAAGCAGCTTAATCCCTGACAGAATTAAGATGATCTGCACTTAATTTTTCTAGGATGAAGTTAGCAAAATGCTTTCTGGAAAAAAATATCTGGAGATTTTTCTACTAAAAAGTTTTTAATAGAAAATATGAAAGATTCTGTCAAAAATTACGTGATGCCCTGAGAGGCAAGAGCAATAGTAAGGCTATCAGTGATCCAGTTATTAGCGTTATCAGAGATTTAAAAGTAATCATGATCAAAATGTTCCAGAAAACCACGAAGAATTCCACTAGACCTCTGAGATTATAAAAGAGAAAGAAATGTGTATTCAAAAACTAAAGCATGTCATAAATTGAAAGTAAAAACATGCATATGGGTCTATCAGCATATTTGACTATCCTGATGACAGTTAGTAGAAAATGTCCAAATCAAGTATAGAAAGACAATAAAAAAAGGGAGGAAGAAAACAGGGGTAAAAAAAAGATTAAAGATACATAAGGCTTTGTGAAAAAGCGTAACATTTTGTAATCTTGGAATGTTAGAATATAACAGAATGAAGCAGAAATAATATTTAAAAGTCTTTGCCTGCAAAGAAACAGTAGGACCTATGCTTAACTCCCCACAGAATGAAGAAAGCATAATGACAAAGGAATGACAAATGTAAAGTTCTGAAAGAAAGTAACTGATGATCTGGAATTCTACATCTGGTAAAAATATTCTTCAAAAATGAAGACAAAAAACATTTCCAGAAAAAGAAAAATGAAAGATTTTATTGCGAATAAACCCATGCTAATATAAACCCTGCAAGGAGACTTTCACTTAGAAGTATCTTTCTTAATAAAGGTATAAAAATGCATGGTAGAGGGCCAGGTGCATTGGCTCACGCCTATAATCCCAGCACTTTGGTAGACTGAGGTGGGCAGATCATGAGGTCACAAGTTCGAGAACAGCCTGACCAACATAATGAAACTCCATCTCTACGACAAATACAAAAATTAGCCAGGTGTGGCGGCACGGGCCTGTAAATTCCAGCTACTTAGGAGGCTGAGGCAGTAGAACCCAGGAGGCAGAGGTTGCAGTGAGCACAGACGGCACCACTACACTCCAGCCTGGGCAACAGAGTGAGACTCTGCCTCAATAAAAGAAAAATGCTTGATAGAATTAGGGGGTAATTCAAATATGTCAGCAATGATATTAACTATTAAAAAGTATAAAATACTTCAAAAAGACAATAATTGATAGACTATATTAAAATAAAAACTTTATACTGCTTTTAGGACACAAATTAAACATAATGACCTCAACAGATTGCAGATAAGAAAATGGAAAGTTTATGTCAGATATTAATCATTAACAGGAGATATAATTAAGGTAATAGATGAGTAGTCTTGAAGGCAAGAAGAAATTCCTAATGATGAGAAGATATTCCATAAGAAATATATAATAAATTTAAATTTATAGGTAACTAATGATATAGATTCAAAATATATAAAGCAAAATTTAAATAACTAAAATCGACGTAAACATAATCACAAGTCAAAGAATATATCATACTGTCTTAGGAGCTAATTTAATAAGTATTCAAAATAATCATTAAGAGTGTAGAAAATATAAATGACGTGATTCGTAAACTTGATCCAGTTGACATGTAGAGTCTAATAAGACTGCAAACAGAAGTCTTATTAGCAATTACATCATTAGTTATTATTAATAATTAATTACATCATTAATTATTATTAACAATTTAATAATCATTGAGCCATCAAACTATTAAAAAACATAGGCAACCTTCATAATCTCAGATTCAGCAATTAATTACTATATTTCACACCAGAAGTACTAACAACAAAAGAAAATTAATAAATTGGACTTTATAAAAATTAAAGATATTTATGTTTAAAGGCACTATCAAGAAATTAAAAACATTCCCGTAGAAAGGGTGAAATTATTTACAAATCATATATCTGATAATTGAATTGTATCCAGGACATACAAAGGCCATATACAATTCAGCATAAAAATGAGCAAAGCAGTTTGATAGACATTTCTCCAAAAACATGAATCTGCTAATAAGCATATGAAAAGATGCTTGACATCTTCAGTCATCAGAGCAATGCAAATCAAGAGCACCATGACAAACCACCTCACATAATCTAGCAATACGGTAATAAAAATCACAGACCAAAACCAAGTGTTAGTCTGGGTGTGAGGAAGCTGAAATCGTCATGCACTGCTAAATGGTGCTCTTAGAAAAACACTATGGTAGTTCCTGAAAATACTTAGCACAGAGTTAGTATATTACCTAGCCAGCAGTTCCACTGCTAGTTCAAGAAATATGCAAACATATGTCCACACAAATACTTGCACACAGCTAGTGTTAGTATCATTATTCATGAAATCAAGAAGTGAAAACAACCCAAATATCACTCAAAAGTGAATAAAGGAAAAACGGTAAATCTATACAGTAGAGTGTCATTTGACATTGAAAAGGACAGGCTGCATGAACCTTGAAAAGATTATGCTAAATGAAAGAAGCCAGACCTAAAACCCCACATGTCGTACGATTCCATTTATATGAAATATCCAAAATAGGCAAATCTTTAAGGATAAATACTTGATTAATGGTTAGCTAGTTTTGCTGGGGGAACAAACGGAAAGTGATTGCCAGAGGTTGTAGAGTCAATGAAATTGTTTTAAATGATATTGTTTTAATGGTTACATAACTGCCTATATTAAATTATTCTATTGTAACTGTAAATAGGCTAATCTCAAAATACATAAATTATATCTCAACATAATTGTTTTTTAAAAGAAAAGTAAAAACTCATATAATAATGTACCTTTACAATATGAGAGATAAGAAAAAGACGGATAAAAAGGAGAAACTGGAAAATCTATCATGCCAGAGGTTTTTATTCATTCTTTCATTAATTGATAGAATGTATGTAGAAAAAAACACTTAGATATAGTAGATTTGAAACAACACAATTAATCGTCTTGGTAAAGTAAATATATACTACACATCTAATGATTGGGAAGTGAATATTCTTCAGAAGCACACAAAGGAAATTTACAAAAAGGGGCTACTTATCAACGTATAAATCGACATTTTAATGTCACTATTATTCAGTGCACACTCTCTGCTTTCAAATATCTATTTCTAAAACAAATAATCTGATCTTCTAGTGTATATAGAACTCCAATGAATGGCTTTTTGAAACACATTTTTTGGACCCAGCCAAATTTCTGCCTTAGAAAGTGTAAGATGAGGCCCATATTTGCATTTCTAGCAAGTTCTCAGATGATGCTTATGTTGCTAATCTAGGAGGCAGGTTTTAAGAAACATAGCTCTTAAATATGCACTCACAAATTTAAAAACACACTTCCAAATATCACATATTATGTGTGAAGCAATTGAAATAAAAAATACTTTAAAATACATAATAATAAAAGTGCTACCCACCAAAAAAGCGGGGATACAACTAAGGAGTGTCTTAAGTGTATATTTAAAGCAAACATACTTATATTGGAAAATAAGAATGGCTAAAAATTAATGAGTCAGGCATCCAGTACAGGAAGTAAGCAAAATAGCCACAGAATAAACTCAAAGATGCAGAGGAAAGGAAGTAATAAGCATGAAAGCAGAGATTCATAAAATAGAAAACAAAGGAATAATTGAGCTCATTCATAGTGCCAGATTATTTGTTTTTGAAAGTGTAATAAAAAGGATAAACCTCTGGCAATAATGCTGAAAGGAAAAATAAAGAGAAAAGGTGCAAATAGCCAATATTAGAAATGAAAATGAATTTCTCTTATTTCATTCTTTAAGTTTCTTTTTGTGTTGATTTTCTTCCTGTTTTATGTCTTGCCTTCTCTTTGAATGATTTTAGTAACTCTGTGTTAAGCATTTTGAGGAGCTACCATACTAAAATGGGAATTATCACTGCATGTAATAAGACTAAAATGAAAACAGACTATTATGAAAAAATGTAAAACCTAGAAAACAGAGAAAATTTTCTTGAAAAGTATAAATCTCAAAACTGATTCAAATATTAGAGATAATGCATAATAAAAAACTTTTAGAAAACTACAAGAAAAGCACTTCAATAATCAGATGAAGGAATTACAGAAGACATATGAAATAATAAAACTTAAAACAAAATTATTAATAATTATATTCAGAAACAATACCTGTTTCCCAGTTTCATCATACCTGTTAAAAAAAAAGTTACCAAAAAAAAAGGATCGATCACAAAAAATGAAGAAAATAAATTCTAAAGTGTATCATTGAGTTCCTAGAAATAAATAGTATAAAGCAAAAAAAAAAATTTATATATATGTGTGTGTGTGTGTGTGTGTGTGTGTGTGTGTGTCTTCCAGTAAGGAAAGGAAAAAGAAAAATATATAAAATGTGTGAGAATTAAAAAGGGAAAAAAGAAAATGGTCATTATTCACACATAATATGATTGTTTATGTAGTAGTTC